TGTCCCGTGACGCACTCCTCGTGGCTGCGGCTCTGCGGTGTTCCTGGGACACCCGGGGGCCTGCTCCTTGCTGTCTTCAGGTCCTGGGAAGGAGGGAGCATCTTGTGCCTGCTGTGAGGATGTCGGCTGAGGTAACACGGCCTCGAGGGACCGTGTGGCAGCCTCTGCGGGGCTCCATCACACGGCCGTGCTCGCTCGCCCAGGACTTGCAGCCTCCTCCTCAGGCCTCCGTGTCTGCCTTTGCTGGCATGGGCCTTGAGATGCCTGCCGGCTGTGCCAGGCGACCCGAACCCAGGCCTGGCGGAGTGCTCCGGGCTGTGCAGGGCCCTCCTGTGGTCTCGGTCATGGCTCTGCGGCCAGCGTCTTCTCAGGGTCTCTGCTTTGCCGTGGCGAACGTGGGCACAGCGTAGCGTGAGCTCCTGAGTCCGGCTCTGGGGTCACGTCAAGGCTCCAGCTAGGGGCCTCCATGTCCACATCAGAAAGTGCAGAGGTCACAACCCTGTTCAGCAAGAGGACAGCGGGAGAACCGGGCCCCGTGGACACAGCTCCCCATCTGCAGACGTCTCGGGTCTGGGGGCGGAGCGCAAAGGGGTGAAGGGGCTCCACAAGACAGGTGCTCAGGGACCCCCAGGCGGAGGGTCCGGGCAGTGGCCAGTTCAGAACATCAGGAGGCTGAGCTGTCGCTGCAGTGTGGGGTGAGACCCTGGGGCATCCAGCCGGGAAGACGGGGACCTTGGCAGGCTCAGGAGAGAGGAGCGGGAGGCGGAACAGTTACCCGGTTCCTCGGATTCTCCCGGATCTTGGTCCTGTCTGAGGTTCTGCCTTCCCAGCCGTTGTCCTGCCTGGGCCACCAGCGCCTTCATCTTTCTCTTTTACGACGACTCCCTTGAAGACCTGATTTCAGAAGGAAGCCACAGCTCCCTCCGGAAGTCAGCGTGGAAAGTGCGGGTCCTCCCCGGCGTGGGAACCGTGTGAGCCCCGCATCGCGCATCCCTCCAGTCACGGGACTCATGCCTAAAAGTAAAACCAGACGGGGGCACAGCTCTGGTACCTGCTGGGCGTTTGGCTGGCGCGCGGCTCTGAGGCTCAGGGTGGGTTGTGTCACCGGGGCTGCATGGCAGAGGCGGCGTTGGGGTGCTGTCAGGCCCCAAGACCCCGTCCAGTGCCCCCTGGCGTTTATCCTGGGGATGGGGCAGCTGGATGCCCCAGGGACATGGCGAGGTCACAGCTGCTGCAAGAAAAGGCGGTGGAGTCGATGGGGGAAGGGTCTGGAGGGCTCAGGACCACGGGGCCGGGAGCCAGCCGTTGGGGGTGTGGGCCCTCGGACAGGACGGAGCCTGCAGGCAGGGCTGGGGGCTGGGGGCTGCGGGAGAGCCTGGGGGTCAGGGTGGCAGGGGTTGTGAGATACGGCCGAGGACAGGGCGGGAGGCGATGGGGGACCGGCAGTGCGTGGAAAGGCAGATATGAGTCCTGAGGGGTGGCAGAGGATGAGCGTTCTCAGGAGTGGGCACAGCCTGAGGTGTTGGGTTGTGGGAGGACGTGGGTGTGGGCCCCAGGCCAGGATCACCCAGCCTGGCACCCACGCATCCCCTTCTGTCTCCGGATGGGCCTGTCCTGGGCAGTTCTTAGTAGTGGGGTCACACGCTGTGTGGCCATCTGTGCCTGGCGTCTCTCATAGAGCGTGACGTCCTCAAGGTGCGTCCACGCTGTGGCCTGGGGCAGGGCCTCGCTGCTGTTCACGGTTGGGTCGTGTTCCGGCACGTGGATGGGCCACGCCACATGCTGGTCCACTCGCCCATCTGTGGACACTGGGCTGCTTCCGCCAGCCGCTGTTGTGAGTGGTGCTGCCGTGGGTGTGCATGGGCACGTTTCTGTGTGGTGTGGAATTGCGGGGTGGTGTGGTGACTCCGGCGTTAGCCTCTTGAGGAATCCCAGTCTGCCAGGCGGCCGCGTGAGGTTCCGGCTCCGCCTCCTGGTTCTGGGCCCTGACTCCTGATTGGTTGTGCCTGTTGTCCGCATTGCTCTCTTCCCCCATCCCCTCCTGGTCCAGGTCTCCACACCCTGCCAGGTCCCCAAGGCGTGGACTCCAGGTCACGTGCCATGTGTGAAACCCTCCCCTTGAAGAACCCGGTCCCCTGAGCCTCCTGGGGTTGCCGCCTGGAAGGGGCGTCCACAGAAGTGGGGGCTCAGAGACCGCAGGGAGGGAGGAGCTGCCAGGAGCACCGTGGTGGCCCCGGGGACTCCGACACAGGCGAGCTCAGGGCCCCTGCTGCTGGAGGGGTCCCTCAGCTATGGTGTACCCCAAGGACGGTCATGGGGTCGACCCAGAACTGCCCAAGGTACCTCCTCCCCAAGCTTGTCCACCGTGGGCCCTGGGCCCCGCGCCCCGCGCCCCGCTGTCCGTCAGCTCGGGGCCATGTGGCCTCAGAGCTGAGGAGCGTCCTGAGTGTGGAAAGGGTCAGCGTAGGTCTGGGGATGTGGCTGCCGTGAGATGGAACCTGCAGCGGGAAGGGGTGCTGACAGGAGCCGAGGGGGTCCCTGCAGGGGAGGGGCTGCTGAGCCCCAGGGCGGGGAGTGGGCCACCCACCAGCACTGGCGAGCCCCCGAGCGGGGACCCTGGCGTCAGCAGCTGCCTGGGGCCGGGAGGAGCTGTTGGTGGCCACCAGCCTGCGGGGCCAGGGCGGGGTCCCAGGCTCCACCCGGTAACCTGTCTTCCAGAGGAACAGACCGAGGCTTGGCGGAGTCTGGGTGTCTGAGGTGATTCTACTCAGAAGGCGGAGCCAGGCTTTGATCCTGCCTTCCTGACCCAGAATCTTTGACGAGGATTGGCCAAGACCCCAGATCCCAGCGGGCCTGTCCCTTCCCCTAAAGGGCACTTCTGGCAAGGGCGTCGCAGGTCCCTGCGGGCAGCTGGAAGGGCCGCCGAGGGTCCCAGCTCTGGTGGCAGTGGGTTGTGGCGTCCTGACCACAGGGAGCAGGCAGAGGCCGCAGACGGTCAGGACGACCTGGCAGGGTGGCCCCACTGTGCCTGACCGCTTCCATCTGGTCTCTGGGACAGGAGTCCCGACCAGCTGCCCAGCCCCTGCTCCCCAGCCACTGTCTCTGGAGCGCTGGGCAGAGGCGTACCTCTCCCCCACGGGATTGCACAAGTGCCTGCGTGTGGCTGTACGGCAATTACTGGAAGTCCCGGAGATTTCTTCACTCCAGGGCTTGGCCGGGAGTGGCCGCCGCCTCCCCTTCCTGCCGCCCTCGGCAGTGAGCACGCTGGGCGGATGCCTGCAAAGCTTTCCCTGCCACCACAGGCCATCCTTGGTCCCTGCACTCACCGGGTAGGGCCCGGTGGGGGCTCAGCCTGGCGGGCGTCTGGCCGTGTGCCAGAGGCCGTGGGGCACGTGGGAGCTGTCCCTGGCGTCTGACGGTGTGGGGCTCGGCTCTGTAGCTCAGTAGTGTTCTCAGTGGGGACACTGGTGTGTGGTTAGCCTGAAACGAGGTCTGGGCGCTTTTCCAGCTCTACGTGGCCCCTGACCCCTCTCCTTGGGAGACCCCCCTGTGGAGCCCTGCTGCGTCTGAGGGATCGGACTGGGTCCAGTGCCGCCTGGGCGCCCCTGGTTCAGAGGTGCCGGGCCCGGGTTGGACTCTCCTTCTGCAGTCTCAGACTGGATGGTTGCAAAGCCAGGTGTGGGGGAGTCAGCCCACAGCTCCACTGCGCACAGCTGGGGTGCCTGGTCCTGTGGCTGCCCTGTGACCTGGGCAGCCCTGTCGGGCCCACCTTAATCGGTGTAGTCGGGGCTGGGGGCCGAGGAGGCCAGGAAAGGCCCTGTGGACAGCACAGAGGGGTTGGGTGGCGCTGCTGGTGTGGGGTGGGGATGAGTGGGGAGGGGAAGGAGCACCTTTCGGTTCTGGCCCAGAGGGTAGCAGGAGCTGCAGCCCAGGCTGGGGCAGGTCATGCCCGAGGGAGAGGAGGCCGGGGGAGCACCACTCTCCACAGACTCTCAGGACGTCCACATCTCCCTCTGCAGATCATGATACCGCCGCCACTGCCGCCACCACGGAGCGAGAAGCCCAGATAGACACTCCGGCGGCCCCGGGTCCCGGAGCCCCGCTGCCTGCCGCCCAGCCGAGGACCCCACCCCGCCTGCCGCCCGATGCTTGCAGTGGGGCCCGCCATGGACAGGGATTACCCGCAGCATGAACCCCCGCCGGCGGGCAGCCTCCTGTACAGCCCGCCGCCCCTGCAGGTGAGGCCCTCCCCCAGCCCCGGCCCACCCCACAGGGTTAATGGGCGCTTGTCCCTCTCCGAGTGCCCGGGGTCGTGGCGTGCAGAACGCTGCCCCAGAGGACATGGCGCGACCTCCACCTGACCTTCCTGGCCCAGAGCCGGGCTGCACCCGCCCCCGTGGGCCCCGGAGAGGGTCCCCATGGGGATGTGAAGGGGAGGCTGCTCATGGCCCCAGCTTTTCAGGAAGCGTATCTGAGGCGATTCTGTCTCCTGCAGAGCTTCCAGTTCCTCTGCCATCAGCTGTACTGGGGGCTCGACTTCACTTGTAGGAACCTGTCAGTGAGGGAATTACTTAAACAATGTATTTCTGGCCAAGCATGGTGGCTCATGCTTGTAATCCCAGCACTTTGGGAGGTGGAGGTGGGCAGATCACCTGAGGTCCTGAGTTCGAGACCAGCCTGGCCAACGTAGCGAAAGCTGGCTTCTACTAGAAATACCAAACTTAGCCAGGTGTGGTGCCAGACGCCTGTAATCCCAGCTACTCAGGAGGCTGAGGCAGGAGAATCACTTAAATCTAGGAGGCAGAGGCTGCAGTGAGTGGAGACTGCACCACTGAACTCTCACACTTGTAGCCTGGGCGACAAGTGTGAGACTCCATCTCAAAAAAATAAAAAATAGGCCGGGCGTGGTGGCTCACGCCTGTTATCCCAGCACTTTGGAAGGCCGAGAGGGGCAGATCACTTGAGGTCAGGAGTTTGAGACCAGCCTGGCCAACATGGTGAAACCCCATCTCTACTAAAAATACAAAAAATTAGCCTGGCGTGGTGGCAGGTGTCTGTAATCCCAGCTACTTGGGAGGCTGAGGCAGGAGAATTGCTTGAACCTGGGAGGCAGAGGCTGCAGTGAGCAGAGTTTGTGCCACTGCACTTGAGTGACAGCTTGAGTGACAGAGCGAAACTCTGGCTCAAAAAAAACCTTTTTTGTCTTTTAAATTAAAAATGTATATACACGTGTGTGTATATGTACACATATATACACACATTAATAAACAGAGACACACATATATATACACACAAGTATATATGTGTGTGTATATATATGTATATTTTTTAGTTTTATCTTTTTTTTTTCTTTTTTTGAGACGGAGTCTCGCTCTGTCGCCTAGGCTGGAGTGCAGTGGCCGGATCTCAGTTCACTGCAAGCTCCGCCTCCCGGGTTTACGCCCTTCTCCTGCCTCAGCCTCCCGAGTAACCGGGACTACAGGCGCCGCCACCTCGCCCGGCTAGTTTTTTTGTATTTTTAGTAGAGATGGGGTTACACCGTGTTAGCCAGGATGGTCTCGATCTCCTGACCTCGCGATCCGTCCGTCTCGGCCTCCCAAAGTGCTGGGATTACAGGCTTGAGCCACTGCGCCCAGCCAGTTTTATCATTTTTAAGACAGGATCTCGCTCTGTCGCCCAGGCTGGAGTGCAGTGGTGCGATCTCGGCTCACTGCAGCCTCTGCCTCCTGGGCTCAAGTGATTCTCCTGCCTCAGCCTTCTGAGTAGCTGGGACCACAGGTATGTGCCACCATGCCCGGCTAATTTTTAAAATTTTCTTGCAGAGATTTTGCCATGTTGGCCAGGCTGTTCTCAAACTCCTGGGCTCAGTTGATCCGCCCACCTCGGCCTCCCAAAATGCTGGGATTACAGGCGTGAGCCCCCACGCCCGGCCCTGCCTGAGGATTTTCTACTTGGATACAGAGGGGCTGCCCTCTCCTGTCAAACAGCAGGACCTGCTCTGGGACTCCAGGGTCTCCTGGGCACTCCCTAGCCCAACGCCCAGGTTGGCCTGTGGGGCGAACATCACAGACACCCCTCGGCAGTCCATCCTCAGAGGGCTCTGGGCAGCCTCCTGCCATGTTCTGACCGTCCAGAGGGGGCTCCAAGCCGGGGCCAGGGTACCCCTCTCAGAGCAGGGTCTCTTTTGTGGCCCAGACCCCTCCTGTCCCCCTCACTAGTTCCTGAGCCCCTCGGGGTTGAGGCTGGATCCCCACAGCTGCCCCAGTGGAGCTCGAGTACTGGCCGTCGGTCGGCCTCCTTGGCCACCATAAAGGGGCTTGGCCAAGCCACATCCCCACCGGAACAGCTCCATCCCCCGACACCCGCCAGGTGCTTGTTCCAACCCAGGAATTCTATCTCGGAAACACACCCCGGGGACTGATCAGGAGGGAGGCAAGACGGAGCGGCACTATTTATAGCAGCAGGAAACTGGAATCTCCCCAGAGGCCCCACAGTGGGGAAATAATTAAGCGAATTATGGGATGTGGAGACAGAGGAGCCGTCTTCGAGGATCCGAGGGGGAGCGGGAAGCTGTTAGCGGTGACAGTTGGGGCCTGCGGCAGAGCTCGACCCTGGCGAGGGCACTGGCCAGCAGCCACAGGGCTCAGGCCGGGGCACACCCATGCGCGCAACCGGCTTTGCCTCCCAACCTGCGTGTGAGGCTCATCCCACCCTCCCTGTTCCGGGTTCCGTCACATTCGGATACAGTGTGGACACCGCTGGGCAGGGTCAGCTGAGTTCACACACACACGGCCCAGCCTCTTCCAGCGCCAGAGTATTAAATTAGAAATAAAAAAACACCAGCCAGCGCAATGGCTCACGCCTGAAATCCCAGCACTCTGGGAGGCCGAGGTGGGCAGATTGCTTGGGGTCAGGAGTTCAAGAGCAGCCTGGCCAGCATGGTGAAATCCCATCTCTACTAAAAATACAAAAATTAGCTGGATGTGGTGGCTGGCACCTGTAATCCCAGCTACGCAGGAGGCTGAGATAGGAGAATCTCTTGAACTCAGGAGGCGAGGTTGCAGTGAGTCGTGATTGTGCCGCTGCACTTCAGCCTGGGTGACAGAGTGAGACTCCATCTCGAAATAAGGAAAGGAAAGAAAATCCCCAGGCAGGCTCTGATTGGCTGGCCAGGGTCAGGTGACCATCTCTGGACCAATTATGTGCTAGGGCCTGCCCTCTAAAGGTGAAGCCGCACCCTCTGGCTGCCAGAGAAGGTCCCAGGGAAGGCTCTGATTGGCCTGCCATGCCCATGGCACCCCTGTGGGGTGGGACTAGGGTATCTGTGATTGGCAGCTCTCAGTGGAGCCACGGGCTGTGGGAGGAGGTTGGGATAGAGGCAGTCATGACTTTCCCCCTATTCCAGCCCCTAGCCTGGCCTGGGCACAGGCGGAGCATGTTGGGTGAGCTGAGGACCCCTGGGTCCTCCTACCCTGGGACCCCACAGCCCCCCGCTGCACTCCTGCAGCTGCAGTTCTCTGGCTGTGGCCATGCCCAGCCTGGCCCAAGGCACCGTGTGTGCCTGAAACAGGGACTTCAGCTCATCTCAGGAGGCTGGGTTGGTCTGGAGTCAGAGTCCTGTTCCAGAATGTTCCGGGTGTGCCACGTGGCCTTGGGAAGTTCCTGTTTCTCTCCCGGGCTGGCTTTCTCTCTCCCCAAAAGGGCAGGAGGAGGGGAAGGACCAGGAGACCCGGGCTCTGGAGCCCCTGTGGCCAGTGGCCCTGCTTCCTGCAAGCCGCCACCTTGGGACCTTCTCACTTGTCTCCTGAGCTTGCAGGAGCTCAGGACGCCCAGGCTGCCGGCCTCTGTGCAGGGGAGGAGCTGTGGGCTTTCGCTGATAGATTTATTTCGCTGATAGATAGGGATAGCGGTCACCCCGAGGGCTTTGCCTGTCTCAGGCTCTCGGGGGTCCTGGAATCCCCCACCCAGCACCTGAGGGTACAGAAAGCAGCCCCTGGCCGTCAGGGCTGGTTCCCGGACAGCGTGAGGTGAATGAGAGGCCAGAGGTGGCCGAGCCCCAGGGAACTGCATCAGGGCCTCAGGGAGGAGCAGGGCTCACGTGGGCCTGGGAGAGGTCACTGGGGGACTCAGGGCAGCAGGCGAACCGCCCCCCCCCCGCTCTGGAAGCCACCATGGCCCATGGTCCTGCTGGGATAAGCAGGATGGTGCCCCCGGCTGGTGGCATCTCCCTCGTGACCACGGGGGCGTCTGTGATGGCAGGGTCTCTCTGCTGCAGGTGGGGTTGGCCCTGTGCAGGTGGGGGCCCTGCTGAGGGGTGCCCATTCTGCAGGGCACAAGGTGTCCACAGCCCTGCCCCCAAAGCCACAGGTGCTGACCTCAGGCTTGCTGCCACCCCTGGGCCTGCTGCCGCCCCATGTGCTCCCCATCCTCAGGTTTTGGGGCCTGCTGTGTGCCCCATGCCGCTCTCGTTCTCAAGGGCAGGCACAGTGAGCTTTTCCCAGAGAACCATGGGGTGGGGACATCAGCTCCTGGCGAGGGTGTTGTAAGCCTGGCCTGGAGTCAGACCCACCAGAAATTCGGCCAACCTGGAGCCACTTACGCCTCCACTGACCTCTGGCTGAGCCTCTAGGCCACTAGTCACCATTTCCTAAAACAGGCTTCCGGCACCCCAACCCCATGCAAGTTCTGAGAAGTCAGGGTCCTGTCCCACGCAGCAGCCTGAGCTTCCGGGTCACACCAGCACGTCCGAGGGCCCTGGAGCTGGTGTGAGGCCCTCACCTGCCCCAGGCCCTGCCCCAGGCCCTGCCCGAGGAGCCCCGTGCCCACCCTGCACTGCAGGCAGCAGGTGCACGTCTCCGTCATGCGAACAGTCTGATCCTCCACCTCCTAGAATGGGGCCTCCAAGCAGGGTCCTGGGGCTAGGAGCACCCCCAGGTCTTGTGTGAGATGCAGACTCCCGGGCTGCGGGCCTGGTGGTAGAGCGAGGCCTGTGTGGAGCCCTTCATGCGGGTGGTTCAGCGCCTTCAGACCACACCACAAGCTTTGGGCGGGGTCTGGTGCAGGTGGGGAAACCGAGGCACGGGGCGTTTAAATGACTCCCCAGGAGATTCAGCAGGGGCAGGACGGGACCCTGAGTGCAGGGGCTCCCTAGCCCCTCGGGCTTTCACCCTGCCCGGAGGGCTCAGCCAGGCTGCTCTGCAGGTCCCTCTGCTTCCCAATCACTGATGCCCGCCGTCTCTTCCAGAGCGCCATGCTGCACTGCCCCTACTGGAACACCTTCTCACTGCCGCCGTACCCTGCCTTCTCCAGTGACAGCCGGTGAGTACCGAGGTCCTCCCCGCACAGCCCCCCAGGCCTGCTCACTTCCGAAGTCACAGTTACAAACGGAGTTCTGGGTGCAGGGCGCAAGGGCTCAAAGTCCTGTTGAGGGGTTGGGGGTGGTGTGCGCGTGGTCCTGGAAGGCTCCACCCCACGGGCCAGGTCTGGGCCGAGACCACTGTTTGTTGAACGCTGTTTTGTGATCCATGGCTTCTGTCTCCTTGAGAACCCAGCTTGGTAGCGGGCGGGGAGGTGTGGGCTGGGGCGGGGGGGGCCTCCTGTGGAGGTGACACCAGGGTGGGAAGGGGTGAGGGGTGGAGGTGACTCCAGGGTGGGAAGGGGTGAGAGGTGGAGGTGACGCCAGGGTGGGAAGGGGTGAGAGGTGGAGGTGACGCCAGGGTGGGAAGGGGTGAGAGGTGGAGGTGACGCCAGGGTGGGAAGGGGTGAGGGGTAGAGGTGACTCCAGGGTGGGAAGGGGTGAGGGGTGGA